GCTACCAGAGCTCCTTAGTTAACAGCATTTATCTCTATTCACTTGTAACTATTGCCTGCCCTGTCACCCGTGTTAACATGTGTCTACCCTCTAGTCTGTGAATAATCCTCTCTGTCCTGTTAATTCTCATAGATTGTTTCTTTCATGAAGAAAAAAAAAAATTTTTTTTAAACTTTTTACAACATAGTTGTTGTTGTTATTAAGTGCCATCAAGTCAGTTCCAACTCATAGCGACCCTGTATAGGGTTTCCAAGGAGCAGCTGGCAGGTTTGAACTGCCGACCTTGAGATTCACAGTCCAATGCTGATCCTATAACGTCACACCACAACATTGTTCTCATACAATACTTGTCCTTTTGTGATTGACTAATTTCACTCAACATAATGCCCTCCCTGTCCAACTGTGTTGTGAGGTGTTTCACAGATTCATACTTATTCTTGAATGTTTTATTGTATTCCATTGTGTATATACCAAAGTTTGTTTAAGCATCCTCCTGTTCTGGGCATTTAGGCTGTCTCCAACTTTGCAAGATGTCTTTTATAGACAGCATATTAAACGGTCCATTTGCTTTCTTCTTATTTTTGTAAAATAAGAGATGTTACAGGCCACACCCCTGGGAAACTACCTTACATCCCATCAGGATTGTGACAGGATTATGGGTCATCAACCCACCCTAATCCTTTTACTGGCTTATCACTTCAGATCACATCATGGGGAAACATCACATAATTGCCATATTACATCATTACATTTCTCCAAACCCCTGAAAATTATGACCCAGTCAAGTTAGCACATCGTTTGTATTTTCGTGGGGACAGACATCACTCAATCCATGACACACTCTAAAAAAGCTTGTTTTGCAGCATATTTGTCCAATGCAATACATCATTTCAATGGCTTTTTGAATGCTTCTTCCATGGGTATTGATTGTGGATTCAAGTCAAGTGAAATTCTTGACAACTTCAACCTTTTCTCTGTTTATCATGATGGTGCTCAGTCGTTTATTGGTCCAGGTGAGAGGATTTTTGTTTTCTTTATGTTGTACTGTAACCTATACTGAAGGTGTGATCTTTGATCTTCATCACTAAGCACTTCAATAGTCTGACCTTATAGTGGAGTCCTGATGTAGCACTGTAGGATAAGCCCTTGAGCGCTAACTGAAAGGTCAGTGATTCAAGCCCACCAACCACTCCTTGGAAACCCTATGCAGGATCGTTATGAGTCGGAACTCACACAACAGCACTTAACAACAGCAGGAGAGAGTATCCCTTGGTCAGTTTGTGGTACTATGAGGATGGTGTTTTGTTCTGTTGTGTGCAGGGTCACTATGAGTCAGAGGCAACTTGATGGGACCTAACAACACAGGACAGAGTAAGGATCCATGGTGGCACGGTGGGTTAAGCACCGGGCTGCAGGACAAAGATGAGTCTATCTGCTTTCATAAAGTGTATAGTCTCAGAAACCCTGTGTAGGGTTCCCAAGAAGCAGCTGGTGAGTTTGAACCCCCGACCTTGAGGTGGAGCGCTGTGAGAATAGGCTTGAAGGCAGCAAGTTTGTATTGGTTTTGTAGAGGAGACCAGAACTGTTTCATGGTTTCCGAGGCTATACAAATCCTTATGGAAGCTGACTCCCGCATCTTTCTCCCTACTAACGCTGAACCCACCGCGCCACCAAGAGTAACTTTGCCCTATGGCAACGGATTTGGATTTTTAAAAATTAAGTACAAGGAGGACGATGTGCTAAATGTGCTTCAATTGACAAGCGAACAAAGTCCAGCACAAGCCCTTATCCCTTGGTGTATCCAACGAGACCCAAACCCCTTTTTGGGCAGGCACTTGGCAACCGTGCCCGGCAGTGAATTGGGCGCGAAGCACCCACACAGTAAATGCTCTCGCCGTAGTCTCACACCGGGGGCAAGTTAGGGCGACGCTCATGTAGTCGCCACCCTTTCAGAGACGAACAGAAAGGGGACACGATCCAGATCTCGCTTCCAAGCCAGTCTAGCCGCGCACGACTAAGGTCTGGAGACTGAATTTACACTCCCACCGCATGCACCATCGACTCTGCCTCATCCAGACCCAAATTCTCTCTACAGCCAAGAAGAGCGCTCCTTCCACGTTTTTCCTGTGAGGTGCCTACCCCCAGGGAGCGGCGCTGAAATTGACAGTCCCGCGGAAGGAAAGGGTTTCCGCAAACTGGAGCCTTCGCAACTACAACTCCCGAAAGACTTTGCTACTGGACTCCTTTTTTGCCCACCAAGCTGAGCGGTGGAGTCCTGGTGTGGCGCTGTGGGTTAATGCGCCAGACTGCAAAGCCGTTTGAACTGCAAGATCGGCAGTTTAAACTCACCAGCTGCTCCTTGACCCTATACAGGGTCGCTATGGATCTGAACAGACTCGACCGCACTTCACAACAACAACAAACTGAGCGGCCAGTTAATTGGAGGGAGACGCCACGCGTGCGTCATCGACGCCCGCTGCCATCGTCGCGGATAGATGACGTGTAGGTCGGGGCCCCGGGCTGTCAGTCAGAGAGCGGCCAGGTACGGGCCCGGGGTCCCGCGGGGCTGGAGCCACCATGGCTGCCGTGTTCGACCTGGACCTGGAGACGGAGGAGGGCAGCGAGGGCGAGGGCGAGCCAGAGCTCAGCCCCGCGGTGAGTTCCCCTCCCGGCGCGGCCCGATTCCTACCGCAGCCGGTGCCCCAGACCCGGAGTGGGTTCGATCCCTGCAGACTCCGGTCCTTCTCAGACCCCGGCCCGGAGTCACCCCGCCTCTCGTCTCCCCCAACCCTATCCCCCGTTTCTTCCTTTCCTGACCTCCATCCTGCCAGCTCCCATCCCGATCCCCACCTCTCCTGGGCCAAGCAGTCCAGCTGGGGGCGGGCAGCGGCTTCCTGGCACTTCCCTTGGCGCTTACCCCTCGGTTTCTCACAGGACGTGTGTCCCCTTGCCGAGTTGAGGTCGGCTGGCCTGGAGTGAGTGAGGGTCGTGTTGGGGGAGGGGGGTGGAGTGGAGAAGGGACCCGGGAGTACTGGAGCCTTGCCCCCATCCCCTTGTGTCCACAGGCCTGCGGGACACTTTGAGGAGGTAGAGCTGACCGAGACCAGCGTCAACCTGGGGCCAGAGCGAATCGGGCCCCACTGCTTTGAGCTGCTCCGTGTACTGGGCAAGGGGGGCTACGGCAAGGTACGGGGGCGGGGTGGTGGTGGTGGTGGTGGTGGTGGCGCTCCTTTCCGCCGGCCTCACAGCCCAACATGGCAAAAGGTTATTAACACATTGTTGTTTAGTGATGTCAGTTCTGACTCATGTTGTTGTTAAGTGCCTTCTAGTCAGTTCTAACTCATAGCGACCCTGTAAAGGCTTTCCAAAGAGTAGCTGGTGGGTTTGATCTGCCAATCTTGAGGTTAGCAGTCTAAAGCTTATCCAGTATTAGTTTGTTAATCAGCAGAATCTCTGATGAGCTAGGCTCCAAGGAAGAAATGATAGTACTCTCAGAATCTGGCTGGAAATCTTTCCTGCCCCACCCTTGGGTGGGCCTGGGGTTCTTGGTCTTCATGCCAGAGCTTCAGGGTGGGGCATTATGAAGAAGTGCTGTGGGATAGGGAGGTTGATCCGGTCTCCCTTGCCATACAGGTGTTCCAGGTGCGAAAGGTGCAGGGCACCAATTTAGGCAAAATATATGCCATGAAAGTTCTGAGGAAGGTGAGTTGTTCATTCAGCCAACATATACTTACTCAATGCCTGCCCTGCCCAACCCTCGTTGCCAGGCTTTGGGAGAACCACAGTGGAAGGGAAGGAACCGGTCCCTGATTTTGTGACTCTGGTTTTTCACAAGTCATGGCTTATTGTTTATTCTGATATGGATTGCTATGCTGGGACGATTTTGCATCCCCCAGGGGTCATTTGGCATTTGTCACAACTGGGGGATGTTACTGGCAGCTAGTGACTAGAGGCTAGAAATGCTGCTCCCTAACCCAAAACCATCCCTACTGCCACTGAGGCCATTCGGGCTCATAGCGATCCTGTGTTGGGATTCTGAGACTGTAAATCTCATCTTTGTCTCCTGCGGAACAGCTGGTGGGTTTAAACCACTGACCTTGTGGTTAGCAGCCCAACACCTAGCCCATAGGGCCACCAGAGCTCCGTGGCCAGCCATGTATGATGCAGTTATGTGGTCCCCGGTGTCAGTAGTGTTGACGTTGTGAAACCTTGGATAAACCTCACCATAAAAGGATGATCGTCGATAGCAGCCGAGTTATGAAGAAATAGAACAGAGAACTTAGAAATGTGATGGTCAAAGGGCCTGCAGGAGTCTCCCCTTCTGACGGGTGCTCGCCTTTCCAGGCCAAAATTGTACGCAATGCCAAGGACACAGCACACACACGGGCCGAGCGGAACATTCTAGAGTCCGTGAAACACCCCTTCATTGTGGAACTGGCCTATGCCTTCCAGACTGGTGGCAAGCTCTACCTCATCCTTGAGTGCCTCAGTGGTAGGAGGGGGGGACCTGGCTGGGGAGGGGGGCGGGGGGGGCGGTGAGTGAAGGTGGGTGGGTGGGCAGGCAGCATGGGTGCTCTGGGGAAGCCCTGGGGAGGCGTGGTTGTAGAGTGGTTAGGGACCTACACTCCCCACCGTCCATTCATTCAGCAACTGTCTGCTCAATGCCTGTGTCTCTCACCTCTGTGGGGGGTGGATGACTCGGAGCAGTGGGGGGGGGAGCAGGTATAGCAGCGTGGTCTGGCGGCTTGTTCTGTCCATTTCTCCTGCACCTTCATGCTCTGCTCTCCTCCCCTTCACGCCCTGCATCCAGCCAGGGCCCAATCCAGCGGATCCATTCCGGGCAAAGCCTTCTACCCTCTGTATTCTGGCAGCCGGAGGGTAGGGAGTAGTTTGCAGTTGCTTCTTACCTGGGTTCCAAGGCTGCAGCTCCTCCCCTTTTAACATCCCCTCCAACAACAACCAGGGTCTTCTAGGAGCATGGTTCCCCCCTACCACTCCTGCTCAGAATGCTGGGGTACTCCCTGACTCCCAGACAAAGCCTAGTCTCCACAGAATGGTCCAGGCCCACTTTTCTTACCTGCCCCATCTGTCCCAGCCAACACTGAAGTCTGCCCCTACATGCTGCACGTCTCCTGCCATCTTAGCATCTCCCCTTAGTCTGCATGAAACTCTTTCTCTCCCTTGGAGTTGGGATGCCTTTAGTCTCCCCTTGTGTGCCTGAGATATTTTGGGTTCAGCTCCCAGAGCCGCTGCCTCCGGCTGAGCCTGTTTGAGCAGGCTGTGCATGTCTGTCTCCCCTTGGAGCGTCCTCAGGGCAATGGCTGGGTCTCTCCATCTCTGTGTCCCCAGCTTCACCCAGCACAGGGCCAGACACCGAGCAGGCATCGGTAGATGTTTGCTGACTTGAACCCCCACGGCAGCTCTGTGAGGCAGGTAGGGCAGGAATTATGCGCCCCACTCTCCCCAAGAAGAGGCCCAGACTCAGAGAGAGCAAGGGGTCTTGGTCCTGGCACAGAGCCACCGAGCTGTCTGTGTCGCTGCAGGTGGCGAGCTGTTCACGCATCTGGAGCGAGAAGGCATCTTCTTAGAGGACACAGCCTGGTGAGGGGGTCTTCTTGCCCCTTCCCCTCTCTGCCCCCCACCCCGCCCTCATCCTTGTCCTCACTTTGTCTTGTCTCCCAGCTTCTACCTGGCCGAGATCACGCTGGCCCTCGGCCACCTGCATGCCCAAGGCATCATTTACCGGGACCTCAAACCTGAGAACATCATGCTTAACAGTCAGGGTGAGCATGGGTGCTGGGTCCAGAAACTTCAGGAGGGCGCCTGAGGAGCCCCTGGGGGGAAGAGAGGGCGGGCCAGATCAGGAAGGCTGGCCTTGACCCCTCCTGGTCGTCTTCCTCAGGCCACATCAAACTGACCGACTTTGGACTCTGCAAGGAGTCCATTCATGAGGATGCAATTACTCACACCTTCTGCGGCACCATTGAGTACATGTAAGCCGGCTGAGTTGGGAAAGGACTGGGGGCAGGGGCACCCTGAGGGGTCTGGACCAGCCTGACTGAGGGTTCCACTCGGCCCAGGGCCCCCGAGATTCTGGTGCGCAGCGGCCACAACCGGGCGGTGGACTGGTGGAGCCTGGGGGCTCTGATGTACGACATGCTCACTGGATCGGCAAGTCCAGCCCCCTTTTGGGGAGGGGAGTGGGAGGAGACCCACCATCCTGGGGCAGCGGCAGCGGGCCGACCATGGCAGGACCTGGTGGGAGGCCCACAAGGCTCCTTTCCTCTTCTACCTCCTCCTCCAGCCACCCTTCACCGCAGAGAACCGGAAGAAAACCATGGATAAGATCATCAAAGGGAAGCTGATGCTGCCTGCCTACCTCACCCCAGACGCCCGGGACCTCATCAAGAAGGTGGGGCTACCTCCTCCTGCCCCTCTGGCCGGCCACTCGGCATGATATGACTTCCTGAGTGTCTGGCCGTGTGTGAGCTGGCTAGCTGCAGGCTGCCTTTGGGTGTGGAAGGGTCACTCACTGGGCCTCAGCTCTGAGCAGACTGGCTGCCAATGCCGGGCAGGTCCCTGATCCGAATCCTAAAGTGCCTGCAAAGGCGCATGCCCAGTAGATGGGCTTCCAGTCAGTACAGGGCTCAGGGTCTGTAGGCTTCTTGAAGTGGACACTGGACCAAACCTTGATAGTCGTGGGGACACCCTTCACCCAAACCTTCACCCTCTGCCTTTGTCCCCTAGTTCCTGAAGCGGAATCCCAGCCAACGCATGGGGGGTGGTCCAGGGGATGCGGCTGATATACAGGTGGGTCTGGCTGACACAACCATGATGAGGCAGGGGCGGGCTGAGGGCAGCAGTGGTGACTGAGGGAGCCAGGAGCCTGACTTGGTGTATTTGGGGGTCCTCTTCCCACAGAGGCACTCCTTTTTCCGGCACATCAACTGGGATGACCTCTTATCCCGCCGTGTAGACCCCCCCTTCAGGCCCTGTCTGGTGAGTGAGAGACCCTGAGGGTGGGCTCAGGACCCTGGTCCCAGACGTCCCTGACCCCTGTCTCCATGGCTGGTCCACAGCAGTCAGAGGAGGACGTGAGCCAGTTTGACACACGCTTCACGCGGCAGACGCCTGTGGACAGCCCCGATGACTCGGCCCTCAGCGAGAGCGCCAACCAGGCCTTCCTGGTGAGTCTCAGGGCCAAGGCTGACAGCACGGCAAGGCTGTGGTTGAGGTGGGACCCTGCTGAGCTGGCCTTCTCTGCCCCAGGGCTTCACGTACGTGGCACCCTCGGTTCTGGACAGCATCAAGGAGGGCTTCTCCTTCCAGCCTAAACTGCGCTCCCCCCGGCGCCTCAACAGCAGCCCCCGGACCCCCATCAGGTACTGTGAGAACAGGAGATGCTTCAGGGCGCCCCACGCATGCCTCAGTTTCCTTCTTTGTACCTGGGGCCCTTTCCACCTGTGCACCCAAAGCCTGGGAAGTCTCCGTGTGTGGCTCAGACTGCCTGGGTTTCCTCTGCAGCCCGCTGAAGTTCTCGCCCCTCGAAGGGTTCCAGCCCAGCCCTGGCCCACCAGAGTCCATGGGGCCACCTCTTCCGCCACTCCTGCCACCGCCCTCAAGCACTGCCCCGCTCCCCATCAGACCCCCCTCAGGCACCAAGAAGTCCAAGAGGGGCCGTGGGCGCCCTGGACGCTAGGCTGGTGCGTGAGGAGGCCCCTCCCTACAGCTCTGAGGGCAGCAGGCCCTGGAGTCAGGGTGAGGGTGTCTTTGTCAGGGAGGCTGTGGCCCCTGAATTAGGAGCCTGGAGGACCACATGCAGCTGTGCCCCTGGGGGATTAAAGGGTCAGTCCTGACACCCCGTGACTCTTCTCTGCACAGGGATGGGAGGGGTCTTCACAGCGCCGTGGTACCCAGGGCTGGAGACAGGAGCATTTTATTGCAAAAAGTCCCCAAAGATAGGGGCTGGGATGGAAGTGGTGGGGGAAGGTACAGTCCTTGCAGGGCAGGAGTGGGGGGCGTTGTAGCAGGGTGGGCTGTGTCCAGGGAAAGCAGCTTGAGAAGCAGAGGCTCTGTGAGTGTGGGGGTGGGGAAGGCCCAGGCTGGCCCCCAGAGCCCTAGAGTGCGGTGACATGGGGGCCCTGGCCCCCGACAGCCCCGGCGGCGCTGTCGTCCCAAGCTGCACTGCCAGCAAAGGCATGCAAGTCGCTGAGTAGGGCCTCGGCACTGCCCCCTGCGCACGCCGGCCCCTGGGTGCTGAGGCCTAGGCCACCCTTGCCGTCACTGTCATGGACCTCGTCAGCTGGCTCAGGCTCTGGGCTGGGCCCCACTTCACACTGCTGCTCCTCATCCTGAGGTTCTGCGGACCCTTGGCTGCCATCCATCACGTAGTCATCTTCAACGTCCTTCTCCTCTTCCTGTGGCTCGTTGTCATTGTTCAGCCACACCCGCTCAGCCCGGGCCCGAAGCCAGCGACCTGGGGGGCTGCTCCACACCAGGCGGCGTGTGCGGCCCCATAGCGCTGCCCCCAGGCGGACCGGATGGTAGTAGCCACCAGAGTCGCGGCTGAGGCGGTGCCAGGCCAGCGCCAGGCCAGTGACCAGTAGCAGCAGCAGTAGCAGCAGTAGCAAGACAATGGTGGCAGACTTGGAGTTCTCACTGCCACTGTTGCTGCCGCCTGAGCCCAGAGCCCCGGGCAGGGCCATCAGGGTCCCGAGCCCTAGGGCACAGAGCAGAGCCTATGGAGACAGGTGGGGGTTTGTCACTGGGGACGGGGACCAGGCCTTGGGCTGAGGGGACATTCCAACAGAAAAGCCGAAATCCTTAGGTCTGGCCACTTTCCTACACTGGACTCTCTTGTCCCAGCACCCAGAATGCTCCTTTGCACCGGCTGCCCTGCTGGACACTCCCTCCCAGCAGGACGTGGCCCACCTGCCACCTTCAAGTCTTGGTTCAAATGTTGTCTCAGTGAGGCCTCACCTGGTTTCCGTCACTGCAGCCCACCTTACTCCCCTCAAGCCCCTAACTTATTTTACTTTTCTACCCCATGCCACTCTTCACCCCTTAGATCATCCTGCTCACCTGTTGTTTCTCTCCTCCCTTCAGAATGTGACAGGAAGACAGGGTCTGGGTGTGTTGTTCACTGAGCACCTATGTTTACATGGGGCACCCAAGAGGGGGCCCAGGAAATACTGGGCTGTGTGGGGACCATGAAGCCAGTGTCAAGATGCTTTTTCCTGAGGCCTTGTATGTAGTGAGCCATTGATCTATTCTCAGCCAGATCCCTGGATGGAGGTCCCCCAGGCCCCTCCTCCTTCCTGCCAACCACAGGGTCGCCCCAGCTGCAGTGTTTCCGTTCAGCTACACGTCCCCAGGGACCTCAGCACACAGGACCGGGGGTTGGGTGGCGGGTGCAGCTGCCAGAGGAAGCTTGCGGTTGGAACAAGGTAGGTGGAGGCTATTGGGAGATGCTGGGTGCAAACCTTCATCCACACCCCAGCTTCTGTCTGCTTGATTTCAGTGGAACTGTCCCCAAGTCCCAGCTCTCAAGGGGAGGAATGAGAAGCTCCACCAGTCTTGGGGTTGGAGCAGGAAACTGGGACCATACTGAGACCCAGGAGGTGCTGGGGAGAGGAGAGGGGAGGGAGGCCCAGCTTCGGCTCCACACGTGCTTTCCTGGGTCTCTCCCTTTGCCCCCACCTGCCTTTGAGCCCTACAGGGGTACCTTCCTTAGCTCCTAAAGCCCAGACAATCCAGCCCTGACCTCCAACTCCCCGTACCCCAAGAACCCCGGGGGCTCCGAGCTTACCATGGGTCGTCTGTCTTGGTGCTGGGCGCCCACCTCCAGCCCCGGCAGTGTTGAATGAGAAGTGAATAGGGTTCACTGTGATTGGGGTGCCCCCGACACTTCCGCTTCCTGCTCACAACCCTTTGCCCCGCCTTCCCTGCTATAGGACCCTGTTGGGGGCCAACCTGAACCACACAACCCTCAAAGGTCACTCAGGACAAGGCTGAGGCTAGGTCTTCCAAGGGAAGAATGCAGACAGACTTAGTGTCACAGGTTGCCTGCCTCGGTGTCTCTGCCTGGCAGAAACATGGCTCCTATCTGGAGTCTGGGGGCCTTACCTTTCCTCATGTTTCCAGACTTTCTTTCCCAGCTCCACCCCACCCCTGCAGGTGCAGATCAAACCTGGTTTTTAGAAAGAGCTTTATTTGGAATGAAAATATAGACCTCAGTTCCCCTACTTCCTCTGGAAAGGGGCAGGGGGCTGGGTAGGGACGGGGAGGTGGTCCCTTAGAGGACAAGTGAGCTTGCCCTGGTACAAAAAATCCTCCACAGTAACAATGGTGAGAGCCAGGCGGGGGCTGCAGCCAGGGCCCATAGGATGGGCCAGGGCAAGGGATGGTCCCCTAGGCCACCGAAGAGGACCTGGCAGCCAGGGGCACCCATGTGACCTGTCAGCAGAAGCTGAGTGAAAAGGGAACAACGGAGGTGGGGGCGGTGTCTGGTGGGGGGCAGCCCTAGGCGTCCCCGTTCTGCAAGCGGCCGAGCTGTGCTTCTAGACGGTTGATACGATCGCTCTGCTCCGTGACGAGCGTCCGAAGTTTCTGTAGCTCCTGCATTATCTCGTCCAGCTTCCTGGCCTCCTGCAGGTCCAGTGGGTTAGGGGTCAGGCAGGGCCTGGGTCCACACCCACCCATCATCCCTGAGAGCACTACATACCTCTGCTCTGTAGAGGCTGCCGCTGGCAGTGGTCACAGCGGTGGAGCCCGCAGGACTGGGGGCCCCCAGGCGGGCAGGGGTGGAAGCAGGCCTGCTGTCGGACAGCACATTGCGCCGGTTGACCTTCAGGTCCCGCTGTTTGCTGGGCACGTAGGCCTCTCGCAGGGAGATGAGAATGGGGTCAGCATCGCGGCCACTCACCCACTCCTCTGCCTCCAGGGCTGCCTCCGGCCCAGCTGTGTCGGGGTACAGATCATCCTGGAAGAGGTCCGACTGTACGGGGGTGGGGGTTGCACAGGTCAGCTGAGGTCCTGCAGCCCCCACTAACACTATCACTCATCGTCATCATGGACCCTGAAGAAGGCTTGGCCAAGTTACCAACATGCTGTCTGCAGCACTCTTGCGCCCCCAAGTCCTGACCTCTCCTGAACTTGGAGACAGCAGGGGGAAGTTCAGTCACGGGGCTCTGTGCTTGTCTCCTTTTGGCTCCCTAGGCCAGATGTGCACCCCAGCTCCCACTGTACCTCCCTGTCCTGGCTCTGGTCTCACATCTTCTCCAGACCCTGGTGGCCACCAACTCACCAGTTTACTGGCCTCCAGGCTTGCACTCTGCCTTACCCTGGCCCCATGTGACCTTTCTCAGCCTGAAACTGTCCTTTCACTTCCCTTCCAGACCTCACCAACAGCTTCCCAAGTCTTCCCAGCCTCCCAAGTAGGAAGCTGGGCCAGCCCCAGGGTTTTGTGGGAGCCATGTGTATACCCCATGGACGGGAAGCTCATGGGGCAGGCCTTGGCACTGCTCGCTGAGAAAATGCCAGCTGACTGGAGGCCTCAGTAAATAATGGTGGAAGATTGCAGAAGTATGTCCAGGTCACACATGGCCTGCTCTCCTCCAGCCAGAACTGTCTCATGGTTCCTGTCTCAATTCCACCTTGCCTCCTCCAGGACTGCCAAAACCTCCTCCCGCTATCTCTTGGGCTGCTCCTAGGGCAGGGCCCTTAGCTTATGGGTATCCCTCCCTAGCACAGACATTGGGCTGGGGTTCCCCTGGTCACACGTCCCTTTCTTAAGCCTGGGTCCAGGCCCCCGTGGAGAAGGGGCAGGGGTGGCCTCACCTTTCTTGGCACAGTCATGACAATGGGCTCACACTTGCGCTCATGCAGCTTATAGAACCTGGAGGGGGAGTGGAATTTGGGGGGGGTGAGGGCATCAGCTTCCCAGCTCTTTCCACCTACCATGTGCTGATTTTTGGGCAGTTCCTAAGGGCTGACTTAGACTCTCCCAGACCCCTCCCTCAGGGGTGTGGGCTCCCAGGGTCTGCCCTCAGACTGCTCCACTGGCCCTCTTACCGGGCGATCTCGCACTTGCTGACCTCCAGGCCCCTCTTGGGCATGCTGCCCATGCCCCTCTGGGGCTCTTTGCTGGTGAATGTGTTCAGGAAGTGGATGTAGGGGGGCTCGTCAGTGATCTCAAAGTACCGGATGCTGGAGTCACCCTGGAGTTGGGGGGCATCAGCAGGCAGGCGGGCAGCCCCTACTCTTCCCTTCCCCCTGCCCCCAGCCTCAGCCCTACCTTGCCGCAGACGTAGACCACATTGGTGTCAGGGTCGTAGAAGGGCAGCAAAGCCCCATTGCTAGAGTCCAACTCCTGCAGGGCCATGGGGTCTTCCAAGTTCCCCTGACATGTGGGAGGGGCAGTTAGGACAGACCCCTACTAGTCTCCAGCACCAGGTCTGTTCACCCAGGGGGCCCTGCTGGGCCCTCCCACGTATGTCTACACTAGGGTCAGCTGTCCCAGCCTGCTCCTGACTCTACAAGCTATTCCTATCCACTGAGCCAGGGTTGAGGCCCCCCACTCCCAACACGACCCCTGGAGGGCACAGGGGTATGGGACAAAGCACTTCAGGAGAGAAGCTGGGAAGGCTTCCTGGAGGAGGAGGCCTCTGTATAAGACCTTAAAGGACGCTGGATGACAACAAGCAAGCAAAGGGACAATGTGGACAAAGACACACAGGTGGATTGGAGGCAGCGGGGCACCGTCAGCGAGCAAGGACTCCTTGGGCTGAGCGCCACGCTAAGAATTGCTGGTGCTTCCAGGTGGGGTCCCATTTGGACCTGTTCCTCGGGCTCATCACACCACTCACCGGGTCCCAGAGTGCCAGCTGCCGCTCGCTCATGCGGCTGAAGCCTGTGGTGAACACCTTGCCATCTGCTAGGAAGATGGCGCGCATGGGCCGAGCACCCTCATGAGCCTTTTCTCTCTCCTGCCAGGATGGGAATAGGCGGTCAGTGCATCACCCTACCAGGCCCCTGGATCTGGCCACCTATCCACATACCCGGGGCCACGTACCGCCACCAGGGTGCCCCGGCGGGGGTCGATGATGCGCACACTTTTGTCCTTGCAGGCCGAGCAGAAGAGACTGCCGTTGCGATTCCAGCAGACATTGTAGATAAGGTCGGGATGCTGGGTGTCCAGACGGTAAAGCTCCTCCGCTGTACCCACATTCCAGATGAGCACCACATTGTCACAGCCTGGCGGAAGGCAGTAGGGGCCGTCAGACTTGCCCACCCTCCTCCACCGGACCCCACCCCTCCACCTCTTCTTGCTTGCCCATCAGGGGTAGCTGGGACATCCAGAGCTCTGTACATACATGGGGGAGGCAGGAGTGGCACCAACCTGCACTGAGCAGCACGTTACGGGCAGTCGGATGCCAGGTGACGATGCCCACTCGCTTGATGTGTCCCTCCAGCACCACCACCGGCTCTGTCAGCGGCAAGGTCAGACCATTTTCAGGAATCTGCCAGACCTGGGCAGCACGGTGGAGATGTTAGGCTGAGGCCTTCACCCACCCCTGCCACAGTCCCGCTATAGCTCCTCAGTTCTGAGCCTCACCATAACAGTACAGTCCTCTGAGCCACTGGCGATGACCTCATCGTTGTGGGGACACCAGTCGATGTCCAGGACGGGGCCTGTGTGCCCACACACCGTGGGGTAGGCCTTGTCAATACGGCCTGTCTGTGGGCATGGAAGGGACAGTCAGGAGGGGCCCTGATTTGGCCATCCATCCTCCATTGAAGGAACAACCTGCTTGGCGTGGGGCACAGGTGACCGCCTGGAGGGTCATTCAGCTGTGATTGACTGCCCCACCCACCCACCTGTCAGGTGAATAGGAGCAATTAGCTGCCTCTGGCCCTTACTCCAGGGCAATAAAACACTTTTTCTACTTGAAACAATACCATAACAATCAATCTCATTATGGCCTGCCAGGAGGGGTAGGGGAGTCCTTTGGGTTAATGAGCTGGACTGCAAAGTCACTTTGAACCACAAGGTCAGCGGTTCAAGCAGTTACTCCTAGGCAACCCTATACAGGGTCAAGGAGTCGGAAATGACTCAATGGCACTTAACAACAGGTGGAGTAGGAACAAGGAAGATGTGACCTGTGTGGGGGATCCTGAGGACAAAGTGCTTCCCACCTGTCCCCACCCCACCGTGCCCACCTTGCCCAGTGGGAGCACCAAGAAGGCACCCCCACCGCTGGCCTCCACAATCACTGCTAGGAACTTTGGGTTGACAGCGCAGAAGGTGCTGTCCCAGGTGACGCGGGACACTCGAATGTCCTCGTAGCACTGGTCATTCTTGACCGGCTGGCCGAACACGTGCCGGAACTTGCTCTGCCGGACCACTTTGCGGAAGGACATGTCTGTTGGGTGGAAAAGCCTGGGTCAGCCCCAGCCCGTTATGAAGACAGTGGGAAGGAGGCCGCAGGGGGCTTGAGATTCAGTGACCTCCTTTACAGAATGAGGTCACAGGGGTAGACGAGGGCATCTGCTAAAGGAAACGCCATGACCCATAGCCCTGGCCACTACCGAGTTCTAGGGGGTCTTAGCAGAACCCTGCCGGCCATCTCCCGGCTCTGGTATGAGGCGGGAAGCCTGGGGGGCACAGACCAAAGCCAGAGGAAGCTTAGCAGTTTTGAAGGCTCCCCAATTGGGAGCAGACTCCTTCCTGTCCAGGGATCTGGAGGCTGGTGATGGGGAGATGGGAGGGAGGGGCAGGACAGGGCTCCACGGTTGGCCAGCTAGGCCCCAGTTCTGAGCCCCAGGCCCAGTTGCAGGGAGTCCAAGGGGATCAGGCGAAACAGGGTCCGGACGCCGCCACCACCTGCAGTTCCAGGAGGGTCCAAGGGGAACCAGGCGCCCACCTTCCAGGGAACCCAGCAAACAAGCGGAGAACCAGGACTGAGAAGGAGGCACCTGGGAGGGGAGGGTCCCTCGGCACCGCGCCCTCCACCTCGGGCTCCGCCCCCCGCCCCACAGCCCGCCCGCACCCCCAGCCTGGTCCCGCCGCGCTCACCGGGGAAGCCGGGGGTTGCAGTACCGGCCTCGGGCGGCTCCGGATCCCGGCCTCTGGAAAGCAGGAAGCAGGAATCAGGAAGTGACAGAGGAGCCGGGGCGGGGGCGGGGCGGGGGTTCGTGGGGGCGGGCCCGGGTCACGCGCGGAGGGGCGGAGTGGGGAGGGACCTGGGAAGGCCGCACCTCGCAGAGACCCTGGGTCCCTGGAGCTTCCAAACCGGATATCACAAGGAAGGGCCTCTCTGTAGGCCCTCTGGGATAGGGGAGCGGGGGTCGGGCTGGCCCACCCGCGGACACTGGGCCCATTTCCCCACACTGCACTCCAGTGCAGCATCCTCCGGGTCCCGCCCTTCGGATGCACGCCTTTAGGGTCGCCCCAATCCATGCCTGACTTCAAAATATATATAGTCTACGTGCCTCTTTTTAAGTTACATAAATACATGCTCTTGATTAACAACGTAAATGAAACAGCAGTGTCAGTATTCTAAAGAGAGAGTGGAAGTCCCCAGCAACCCCATCCTTCCTGGAGGACATGGGTCCTGCGGGCCTCATTAAAAATAGAAGTGGGCTCGCTCCCCGCAGGTGTCCCCACCTTGCTTCCTCACTATTCCCTCTCCCGAGCCCTAGGCCACCCACTCTTCTCCTTCAAGCCATCTCCTGTGACAAGGAAACACTCCCACCCTACCCTGTTCTGCCCTGGGGGGTTTGGGTGTCCCTGTGAAGTCCCGGTGTAGCTCCACAAGCTCATCAGCTGCTCCTTGGAAACCCAATACAGGGTCGCTATGAGTTAGAACGAACTCAGCAGCACTTAACAGCTCCCAAGACCAGAGTTCGATTCCAAACAGTGCACCTCATGCTCAGCCGTTCCCTGTCAGTGGAGGCTTGTGTGTTGCTGTGCACTGAACAGACATTAACAAGTTTCAGTGGGGATCCCAAACTAAGATGAGCTAGAAAGAAAGATCGCACCATCTACTTCTGAAAATTAGTCAGTGTAAGCCCTCCTAATGATCCAGGCGGCAACCGTGGGACTGGCTCAGGACTGGCAGCGTTTTGTTCTGTGGAGTTTGGGATCACCTTTCACAGCTACAGTCTTCCCCCTCCTCCTTGGAGCTGGGGATCCTGGGGCACTTGGCCACTTCCCGCTCTCCTTCCTTGAGCATCTAGCCCTCTGAGTGACCAAGGACTGATGGGCCAGATCCCCTTTCCAGAAAGTGTAGGGAGGGCAGTCAAAGGACCTAGCCTGGGGGGCATAGAGCCCCCCACTGTATGTCCATTCATAATGGGGACTCAAACAAGCCCCACATCATTCTCCTTCCCACACCCTGTTGAGGAAACAGGCTTAGGGAGGGCAGTGTTTGCTCAAGATGATCCCACCTGAATCCAGTCTGTATGACTCCAAGGTCCTCCATTTTCCAAATGCTTCATAAACCTTTGTGGGGTTGGGGGATGGTCCCTCCGGCGGGGAACTGGAGTGTGGGCAGCTTGCTTGGAAGAAGGAGTAAAGACACAGCCTCCCCTCCATTACGTCTCCAGGCAGCAACCAGAAGGTCTCCAGGCACCAACCAACCAGATTCTCTACACCCCTGCCCTAAAGCCTGCTTTGCCCCCCACCAGTCACACTTAAAAGAAAATCCTCAGTTCCCCTTGCCTCAACTTGTCATATCTCTGCCCACCACCCCCATCACCTGCATATGGCCCAGTGGTATTGATCCTCTCGTCCTCAAACACACCAACCTTATTCCCACCCCAGGGCCTTGGCACATTCTGTTCCCTTCATCTGGAAGTTCATCCCCCAGATCTTGAAAAATATTCCATCCCTCACTTCCTTTGTGGGAAGCACAGTGACTCTGTAGCATAAACACTGGACTGTGAACCACAATGTTGGCGGTTTGATCCCCCCAGTCACCCTGTGGGAGAAAGCTGAGACTTTCTGCTTCAGAAATAATTTATAGCCACAGAAACCCTATACAGGGTCTCTATGAGTTAGAATCGATTGGATGGCACTTAACAACAACAACACATCCTCTAGTTCTCTGTTCAAATGTCACCTCCTCCAAGGACCCTCTGTGACCATCTCCATCAGCTTGGTCACCCTGTAGACTTCACATTTTGATGATACATTGCGTAATTTAAAAATGTATATATTGTGAATTGAGGGAAGGTGTACCAAGAAGATCATCAATTTCACAGTCAACAGATCATATTGTTTCATCTCAGTGATCCCAAGACCCCAAGCCTTTCAACATAACATCACTTATTCCACTTCCTCCCTGTGTTTCCTGTTTCCTTTCCTCCTTCTTCCTCAGCCTTTCTAATTTTGTCCTTGGGTAAATGTTGTCCTTTTGATCTCAAATGGCTGACCATTGTATGATGTGTGAGTACCTCACTAGTGTTGTTGTTGCCCCTATAAAGTGCTGGTTCTGACTCACAGTAACTCTATGAGTATAGGGTTTCCGAGGAGAAGCTGGTGGGTTTGAACAGCCAACCTTGCAGTTAACAGCCCAGTGCTTATCTTACAGTGCCACACCAGGACTCCATACACTTATTTCTTGGCTGAAAATTGAGCTACAGGCGTGAGTTCTGTTCCAAACCTGAAAGATGACCAAGGGCCACATCTTGGGGTTCCACAGGTCTCTATCTGACCAGTAAGTCTGGTCTTTTTTTTAAAAGTTTTTATTGTGAAAATTGAGTGCACATTTACAGGGCAGATCATCAGTTTCACATTCAACAAATCATATACTTTGTTTCATTACAATGATTATAATCCCCTCCCCGTACCATCAGTTAACTCTATTCATTTTATCTTTTTTTTTTCTTTAACATTCAGGCGTATATAATAATTTAAACCACCAAAAGGCATATTCTGCAAGTCTGCCTCCTGGCCGCCAGCACACAGTCTTTCTCTTCCCATGAATCTAGAGTCCTCAGCTGCTCCCTCTCTCCATGTCCCCATCTTTGCCTTCATTGCTGGTGTCGCTGCTTCTCTGGATAGGGTCCCGCACTCTGCTCATGCTTGTCTCCCTTGATGATCCTAGGGTCCTCTGTTTCTGGACTGTAAGAGTAACTACTCCCTTGTTTTTGTTACAAAACTTCTACCTTTACAATTGTGACAGTTGCAATTAGTCATGGAAACAATTACTCACTATTGAACCATAAGAATCTTATCCCCATCTCTTTTTACCAGTCTGGTCTCTTTTCTGATTTTTTGTTCCATATTTTCTTCCACTCTATCCATGGCCTTCTGATGTGATCCCTCTCAGAGCAGTTGGTAGTGGCATCCAGGCACCATTTGGTTCTTCTGAAAAATAATGTTCCTGTGTTCCATTTAGTCCATTGAACGAACTGTTTCTTATACTGCACCTTAGATGGCCGCTCGTGAACCGTTAAGATCCCAGTTGCAACTCACCAAAGTAGGATGTAAAATATTGTCTTGGTGGATTATGTCATGCCAATTAATTACAATGTCCCCTGAAACTATGAGCTTGGGCCCCCACACCCGGTGACTCATTCCCTGAAGGTGTTGGTAATGTTTAAGAAGTTTTCATAATGTTGCCTCCTGTATGCTTCACCAAATTCATCAATATGTTTGGAGCAAAAGTAAATACCCATGTACAAATATCTTCTTTATATATTTGTGGGTCTCGTCTCACTCCCTCTCACACCCCTTCTGCCATATGTCTATCCATGTATCTAACCATAGATTACCACTCTTGCAGGATTGTATATATAACGGTACTTATTTCTGTTAACTCTTGCACTCCTACTTGATGTCTTCCCCTGCCAACCTCCTTCTTGTATATTGGCTTTCTCTTCTCCCAAGTTAACACATGTCTACCCTCTCACAAGGTTGATTTGAACCGCAAGGTCGGTGGTTCAAACTCACCAGTCGCTCTTTGGAAATCCTATACAGGGTCGCTGTGGGTTGAAACCAACTCGACAGCACCTAACGACAAACAACAACCCTGTAACATTTTTGTCATCTCAGATTCTTAACTGAACAGAAAGTTGTTCGGAAAGTGGTGATTCTCCCTAAGACAGGTCTGTATTGTTGTTAAGTGCCGTCCGGTCGCTTCCTACTTAAAGCACGAGATTCAGTATAGGGCTTCAAGGAGTGACACCTTGCTGTCCAGTGCTTGTCCTACAGTGCCACACTAAGACTCCAGGACTATGTTATTGTTGTGAAGTGCTGTTGAGTCAGTTCCTACTCATAGCAACCCTGTATAGAGTTTCTGAAGCGCAGCCGGTGGGTTTGAACTGCTGATCTTGTGGATGGCAGTCCAGTGCTGATCCTACAGCGCCACACCAGGAGTCCTTGATCAAGTTAATGGTCAACAACTAGTGAGCAGTTACTATGCGCCAGGAGCCCTGGTAGGGAAGTGGTTAAGCACTTAGCTGCTAAGGGAATGGTTGGCCATTTGCCCCTACCAGCACTGTGTGAAGATGATGGACACTCTATGGGGCAGTTCTGCTCTGTCCTACAGGGTCACTGTATGTCTGAATCCCCCTGACCACAAAGGGTCCAACAGGTGCTATGTGCCACGCAAAAACACATATGCAAGGGAAAGTTGGACACACTTGAATTATGGTGGTGGCAATAAATAGGAATATACTATGGACTGCCAGAAAAACAAACAAATCTGTCTTGGAGAAAGTATAGCCAGAATGTTCCTGAGAAGTGAGCATGGCGAGACTCATCTGGCTCGTTTTGACATGTTATCAGGATGGACCAGTCCTTGGAGAAGGACATCAAGCTTGATAAAGTGCAGGGTCAGAGAAAAAGAGGGAGAGAGACCCTCATTGAGACGGATTGGCGCAGAGGTTGCAACAGTAGCCTCAAACATACCAATGATGGTGCAGAACCAGGCAGTGTTGTGTTCAGTTGGACATGGGGCACTGCGAGTCTGAGCAGACTCAGTGGCATCAAACAACAACAACAACAACAACAACAATCTTACAGATGAAGAAACAGAGTCACCAGGAAGCCAAATAACTCGCTGAAGGACACACTGCAAATATTCAATAACAATTTATTGAACAGAAATCTCTCTTCTGCTTGTCTGCTGCAGGGCCTCACAGTCCACCGTCAGGAAGTGTCCTGCTTGGATACTACTATCACCAACCAGCAGGGTCAATTAATGATGAAAACAGACACCCATTTCACTGAGGGGAAAACTGAGGCTCAGAGAGAGCCGGGAGCCTAAGCAATGCTCCAGGTCACCTGCCCTAATTGTCACTGTCACATCAGCTGCAGAGGGTCACACTGCTGGGCTACTGGGAAGGCACAGGGAGGAGGGTGACAAGGGAGAAAAAAAAAAACACCCCATCATTCTGGAGCACTAGAGCAAGGTCAACGGTTCAAACCCACCAGCTGCTCCTCAGAAACTCTAGATAAGGTTGCTGTGAGTTGACCGCAGTTAAGGACAAAAACAGGGCTTGAGAAAAATGGATGGGGTGGTGTCAGAAGAGGGTGGGTGTGAGAAGGGAGGTGGGGTGGAGCCTTCAACACTTCTGAGTTTGTCCAACAGCCTGAGCAGAAAGAGGCAGGCTCTGCCCAGAGATGCTGTGTGACCTCTGGGGAAGCCTTGGCCCTCTCTAGATCCCCTGGCACTCAGAGCTCTCTGAGCTTGGACATCCTTCAGCTTGCTCCCCCTAAACTGCCTCCACCACAGAGCGTGAATGGAGGGTAGGATGAGAGTCAGGCCCTCTGTACCCACTGTGGTGGGCTGAGGGGCAGTGGAACCTACAGTCAAACTTGGAAGTCTTGTGGAGCCTCCTAAAAACATAGGGATGGTCCAACAGTCCCTTGGGCCACCTGGGTGTCTGCCCTGGGCATAGGTGATATGTCCTGATGCTCACAGAATCCCAGATGCACTTCCAGGCATCTTTGTCTTGTCCCTTCTCCACCCTTGATGTTTCCATTGTACTGATGATGGAAGAGGCCACTCACTGAGCCTCTACTCTTCTCAGGCACCTCCCATATCATACGTTCGTATTTAATCCTTCTAACAGGCCACTTTGCAGATGCAACTTGGGAGTTCTAGGGTAAAGTGGCTTGTCCAGAGCGATACAGGGACGTGGAGGAGCCCCATTTAAATCTGACTCAGCTGCCGGCCAGACACACAGGTTTGATGCAAGCTGCCAGACAGACTGCTCGGTGGCAGACATTACACACAGAACTAACTCTAGGTGAGATGTCTGGAGAGGCAAGAGAGAAAAAGAAACACTCGGAGACCAGAGTGGATGCAAAACCGGCAGACAGACTCTCCATGGCCCTGCAAGCAGTAATTCGTGCAGGCTTCAGTCTGCGTTCGTCTTTTATATCAGGGAGGGACTTTACACAAAGGAAGGAGGGGATTATTAATACATGGTACAGAAGTGAAATTTGATTAATCATTCAAAACAGGACACAATGATTTATAGGAACAAATTTCTAAAACATACATCACAAATTGTTTTGATAATCTTGACATCCTTAATTTTCCAGAAATTCAAGCAAATTTATATAGTACTTTTCAGGTTCGAATCCCAGGGCAGCAGCTTGAGGTTTCTCAAGGCTAATTAACATACCTGTAGCACCTAATCTTCAATGGGTAAAGGTGAAAAGGATTTCAAAAGGTCTGAAGAAAGTCAAGATGTTTCAGATACCTGGCTTAAGATTTCAGGGGGAAGGAGAACATATAGGTCAAACTGATGAAACCCAGGGTGGTCCGAGGGAGTTGCCACCATTGTCCTTAATCCAATATTCCCAGAATTTACCACTCCACCCCAAATGAATACCCCGGGCAGTTCCTCTCCAGAACCTCCCTGCTTAATCCCAGTAAAGCTGTCCTTGTTCGTCCTCTGAGGAAGTTTTACTGTCTCGGTTCTAGGGGGAAATTTGGTTTGTACATGGATATCAGGAGCGCAAGTTCTAATATTTTAAACATAACTGAATAATCAAATAAGGAGCAGTTCTGACACTCTTGAAGTTTTATGAGGCCTGTAAGCCTTTTGGTCCCCAACACCCAGCCTCACCAGGGGCAGGAAGCTAGGCCATTCCAAGTCAGCTTGTGGACCACTAGGGTCTCAGGCTCCTATTTGGAGCTAAGCATGGCTCCTGGCTGCCTTGTGCTCAGGCTGGAGGGCAGATGGGGAGGAAGAGAGGCAAGGGTGAAAGGGCAGTCAGGTGAAGCTCAGGGGAAATCCTTCCTTTCTGTCTTCCTGCTACAGGGTCCACAAAACGGGGAAGCGATCAGTGGGGTCTGTTATCCTGGACGGCAGAACCCGGTAGGAATGGTGTCCATCAGTTGTGGCTCATTGGGCTGTTTGGTGAAGGGGTTTCTTAGGGTCAATTAGGGAAGAGCTTGGGGGGCCAGGTTAGGGGATGCTCGTCATACACTGTCTGGGGCTTTTTGGCTGTCTTGGTTTCACTTCCCCAAAATCTCCTTCCAGGTTGAGGGATTTGGTGGGATTTTCCACGATGACATTCTTCACAGCTGCTTCTAATGACTGACTCTTCCATCACTGTCCCAGTGCCCTGGGCTTTCCTGGGTCCTCACGTGGGGTCTGCCCCGAGGGCCTCTTCTGGGGGCTCACTGCTAGGGCTTTCCCCCTCAGAGGTGGTGGGTATGACTGGATTTTCAGCAGTCCCTGGTGCGGGATCTGTGGATGGGGCAAGAGAGGGCTCATCACCAGGACTGGGGGCTGAGTGGGCAGTGAGGCCAGGGGTCTGCACCTCAGGGTTTGCCTGAGGCTGGCCCATAGAATCCAACTGTGGTTGGACTGTGGGGTTTGCCGGTGACAAGGCCATGGGATGCAATGGTGGCCGGGCTGTGGGGTTTGCCTGTGGCTGGGTCTCAGTCATGGGTACTGGCAGCGTCTGGCCCTCGACGTCCACTTGGGCCTGTGGCTCAGCTGGTGTGAGACTGCCGGGCCGCTCCTCGCAGAGAGCTGCTGCAAAGGAGGAAAGGACTGTACGGAGCAGGATGTGGAGGTCGGCGCTGGCCATGAGGCAGAGGAAGGGACTCAGGCAGCTGTTAAGCAGGATCAAATAGTCAGAGTAGACCAGGGCCTCCCAAAGCAGGTAGCCGGGGTAGATGTCCCACAGGAAGGCCAGGTACAGCAGCTGTGCCAGCTGGTAGGGCAGCCTCAGGACCACATAGGCAGACAGAATGGTCTTGGCCACTCGGGCAAAGCCGCGTTGGGCCAGGAACCTGGGCTGGTGGTGGCAGGACTGGCAGACAGCTGCCTGGGTGAGCACATGGCAAACCAGCAGTAGGAGGAAGGGCAGGAAGCCCCCCAAGATCTCCAACATCCTCAACGGTAGCTCTTCACTGTCCCAGAAGTCCAGGCAGATGACAAGGTCATACCACCAGACAGTGGCCTCGGGGAAGACCAGCCAGGGCACACTGAAGAGTGTGGCCAGCACCCAGACCCCTGCACACACCCAGAGGGGCAGGCGAGTCGGGCGGCGCCCTGGGTACCAGCGTGGGCACAGTGCTAGCAGGCAGCGGTCCAGGCTAAGGGCGGCCAGTAGGAAGAGGCCTGAGGAATAGGACACGCCCCACAGGAAGTAGTAGAAGCGGCAGGCTGCTGTCCCCAGAGGCCAGTGCCCTCCATGCTGGATCTCCAGGATTTGGAAAACTGCCACAGACAGGAACAGGAAGTCAGAGAGGGCGAGACTGAGCAGAAGCAGCGCCAGCCGTGTGCCCGCTCCATGCCGTGCCTGTGAGCCGGCCAGCCATGCCATCATCCCGTTGGCTGGCAGGCCCAGGAGTAGGAGGGTCACCAGGAAGAGGGTGTCCCAGCCGCCATGGGGGTAGTAGTCCTCGTCGTCCAGCTCTGTACGGGGCCCATGTCCAGGTGGTGGCCAAGCTGGCTCCCATGACAGTGTCCATCTGTCCATCTGAGATCCTCAATGAATCACTGGGTACGCAATGAGCGCCTAGTGAATGAATGAATGATGATCAGAGCAAGGGCACTGTGTGCCTTAAGGAAAATTACTGCCCCCCCCCCCCAACTCTGAGTAACTGGTGTATGCCAGAGACTTGAAATCGGCTTCCTACAACACATTCGCGAAAGCTGGACAGTGAATAAG